CTAAATCACATGGAGACAACTACTTCTCATGAAATCATTGAAGGTGGCAAATATTACTCATTTTATCTCCCACATCATGCCGTTTTGCGACCCGAAAGTAAAACCACTAAAGTACGGGTAGTATTCAATGCCTCCAAAGCTACCAGCTCAGGAAACTCGCTCAATGACGGTCCCACTATTCCAACTGACCTTACAATGTTGATCATCAACTGGAGACTATACAAATATGTATTTAACGGTGATATAGAGAAGATGTATCAACAGATATGGGTTAACGAAGAGCCCCCAAACTTTCAATGAATCGTCTTTAGAAAGGGCCCGGAAAACCCAATAAAAGATTATAAACTCAAAACAGTCATTTTTGGCGTAAACTGTGCCCCATTTTTAGCTATCAGAACATTTCACCAGCTAGCTGATGACTCTGCATTAGAATACCCACGTTGTACGAGAATCCTTAAAGAAGAAACATATGTTGATGATGTTTTTTCTGGAGGACATGACCTTGAAACAGCCCGAAACTCACTCACCCAACTCACTCAAGTTTTAGGTTCAGCTGGCTTCCCTATAAAAAAATCACGGCCAACAACTCAAAAACAATAGAAAATATACCCCAAAACAATCTTTTGGACTCAAATTTTTTAAAACTCGAAGACTCTAGCACAACAAAAAACCTGGGAATACAGTGGAACGCTGTATCGGACTCATTTTCGTACACATTTTACCCTCTCGCAACTCCATACTCAGCCACAAAACGTCAGATCCTTTCTGCTGTTGCTAAACTTTTTGACCCGGCAGGATGGCTATCGCCTATAATGGTTAAAGCAAAAATCCTCTTGCAAGACCTTTGGAAAGAAGGTACCGATTGGGACGAGTGCGCAAAACCCACCTCGCTTCATGCTTGGCGTACGTTTGTCGAAAATCTACAATCGGTAGCAAAACTCGAAATCCCACGATGGATAGGATACTCACCTAAATATAATGTCGAGCCCCATGGATTTTGTGACGCGTCCCAAGAGGCATATTGTGCATGTTTGTACCTTCGCTGCCACGACGGTATCAACTCAGCCACTTCTCAACTTCTCGTGGCAAAAAGCAAAGTAGCCCCAGTT